CCTGTGGTCTGATGTCACTGTTACCAGAAAGGTGTGGCGGCTGTTTGTGCTTATCTTCTGATTACGGCTTCAACTTTCTGCTTCGGCTTGAAACTGATTGCATCGCTCTTTTCTGCTCCTCCTGAATTTCCACTATTTAGATGAGTCATTTGGACGTAAATCACCACCTGTGCATCTGATTGCACTTGTTCTGTCTCGCTGGGAGAGCTCTGAGGACGAGCTGTCAGGTTGGTGGTGTTGTGAAGGAGGGATTTTTAAAGGAGCTCCCTTTTATTCAGCGACTCCCTGTCTTGTTCTGCGGTCCCTCTGCTCCCCAGCAGCTGCTTCACGTGCTCTGCTCCCTGCTCTCCTGTGCCTGAAAGCCAGTTGGACGCAGCTGAATGGCTGCTTCCGCCTGTGCAACGCCGTTTCAAGGAGTGCTAGATGGTTGCTGTTGGTTACAGCCACTCAGGCAGTGTCTGGTTACCTCACCTTGCAGCGTCACTCTGTTGCATTGTTAACCCTTTGAGCAGAGAAAAGGGTGGAGAGCCGAGGCAAGGCCTGGAGTGGATCCGTGTTTGCTTTGAGAGCGCAGTAGTTTTCAGCAGGGAGTGATTTGGGTCTTGTTTTTACACCTGCTCTGTGTTTTCCAGGAGCTTGGGACTAACTTTAGCTAAGTCATCTGTGTGGTCATGGAGTGTTTGCTTTGATTAGGCTGCTTTGTCTTTGCCTGATAGTAAAAGGACTTTGGTCTCAAGTGGCTTACAAGAAATATTTCCTGCGTTCAGCGATTGAAGCAGTAAGGTAGTCGGCTAATTACAATTAAGACATATACTTGTTGCAATGTTTTGTGATCAAATCTAGCAATTAAAAAATGTGACACTCTTTGGCAATCTTGTCTGGAAAAGTGTAATGCAGCAGCTCTGATTACCGGAGTGTTTCCACCAGAAAACCCGCCTGGTTTTAGGGGCACCAGAGGCGTCATCCAGCAGCCCCCCCAGGGTTGACATAATAACAAATTTTACTGGACATTAAACAGTCCAAGAAGTTAAGATGAATGATAATATTGTTTTGAGACCATTTTCAAGTAGTATAATGGTAATGGCAATGCAAGTATCAATAAAATAAAAATTCTAATGAGTATTAAACACTGGAAAAGGGAAGTCATTTTAAAATATCCAGAACAGATAAATAAAACAGGAACAACAAAAACGGGCATTGAAGGAAATTGTAAAATATCACTAGATAATTGTTATTGGAAAACATGAACACAGAAATGGCTACTATAAATTCTTAAAAATGCAAACATTTTAAAAAAATACAATTAAAATAAATCTTTCATCCTAATTCAAAGTGTCCACATTTTTTGATTGTTTATCCATGACTTGTCACTTTGCTAGCTGAAGTTGTTGGCGTGCCGACCGGTAAGGACAGGAAGTGGTCACAGCGTGCCGGTGAATAAAAAGTCACCTGACCTCAGTCTCCCTTTGAGTTCACAAACTGACCAAGCTACGTTTCCGTTGTGCTTCCAACCGTTTCACCAAAAAGATTCTTTTTGCTGGTGTACAAAAAAGAACTAAAATCAATAAGCAAACAATCCTCCGCCTAGTGGCCCATCAGGCTTGTCATACACTGGGTGAGTTAAACGTGTTTTATTGCAGCTGATATCGTCATCGCAATATTTACTAATAGTCTCCGTCACAAGATCCAGTTTTATGAGTTTTTGAAACTCATAAAACTGGATCTTAGACCTAAAAGAGGAAGTTGTTCTTGAGTAGCTTGTTGGTATAAATGTTTCCTACACGAATTACAACTCTCACAGTTTTGTGAATACAGATATTTTTTTTGTTTTGTTTTCTTAGAAAAACTGCTACATTCCCATCCTGTTTGACCAGTCTGTACACACTCAGTGTCCTGAGTTTTAAAATGGATATGAAGTTAAGGAGCAATATTTGGTTTTGTGGGAGTTTAGTCACCTAAAAAAGACTGAAAATAAGTTTTTAATATTTTTTCTATTATTTTACTGGTATTCAATAAGTACCACAAAATATTGTGAAAAAATTTACTCACATTGCAACAACCTTGCATCCTTCTATGAGATGTGCAGTATGGCTTAAAATTTTATTGTGCTATTCTGTGGCATTTACTACTATAATGATAAAAGTCATGATATAAAGGTTAAATGATTTTGACTGCATTCCACTGCAAACTTATGCAATCACAATTGCCAAGTGGTGCACAATAACTTAATTTGATCGTATTTTGATATTTATTGTTTCTCACGTGTAACCAATACTTGGGAAAACTGTAACAATATTTTTTAGCAAACATCATCATGTAATCATGTCGAGTTTGTCTTGATGACAAATCAGATTTCTCAATTCCAATAAAATGAGGATACTATAGTTGTCTGTCTCTATTCAGGACTCTTGATACCAATAGCACATTTAAAACTTCCCAGTGATGCCTGTCCTTTTGTCCCTAAAGTGTACCCATCTTCTGATTGCTACTTCCTGCAGATCAGTGCATCTCTAAATGGCCTCAAACTGGCTTGTTGACCATGACCAATAGTTCATTGTGTTTTAACGGCTTGCACAAGTTGGTGGAATGAGATCCTCCTGATAAAAACCTGCTGTGATCTCATCATGTCAACATGGACCAAAAATCTCCTCAGGAATGTTTTTGTTAACTTCCTCAGTCTGTGTCGCAACCAGGGGCGGATTTAGAAGGTCGTGGGCCTCAGGGCTAATGCAAGTTTTGGTCCCCCATCCACACAGGTTTTTTTTTTGGTTTTTTTTCCCGTGATGCAAATTATATCATACTGATAGATAAATAGGTAGGCCTTCACTTTAGTGGATACAAATATTCAGGTTAACACAATCACTGTCAAATGTCTCTGAGTTTTTCCTGAAAATTAATTATGACAAAATTTGTTCAATATCATAACAAATAGAATCAATAACATATCTGGTGGTGTGGCCTTTTTTTTTTCAGTTTGTGATGTATTTTGGAAAATGTTGAAGGAAAAGTTTTTTTGGTTTAAAATCTTAAATCTTTCAGTAAGTCAACTAGTTTTAGTCTTGATTAGAGTGTTAATGTCACAGCCTTACATTTTTTTCGTATCCTTATTTGTGTTTTCGACTATTGGTTAATGATGTTTGGAATGAGAAAACTGACAGATATTGGTTTCAATTTAAAAAAAAATTGTGCATCTGTATTGTTTACTTATGTAACTGTATCACCTGCTGGGCTGTTTAGTAACAGATTATGCTATTAATTATTCTGACAATCAATTAATCTGTAGAAAAAGATGCATCAAATTCTGCTTTTTTTTTTTTTTTTTACCACTAAATCTTAACCAATTAATTAATAGTTAAATAGAACAAAGTGCTTAATAGGAGATTTGTACAGAATTTGAACCAGGAAAAAGTAAAACAGCCTCTTAAGGACTATTGGGGAGAGCATATTTGCAAATAAAGGAGGGTTTTTTTTTTTATCTTAAATGCAAAATGTATGTATTTTTCACTTAAAATACATTAGATATAAAATACATTTTATACTAAGTTGTACAATTTTAGCTTACTCACTGCTCTGATTATGTTGATTTTTCAGTTTTTATTCTCCAGTTACGATGAATCGATTACTAAATTAGTAGGCAATTATTTTTGATAATCGATTAATCCAATTAATTGTTTCAGCCCACCTGCACTTTATTAGCAAGGCGTGCTTAATAAAGAGAATGTTTCGGGTTTTTAAGTCTCCGGTGCGATCACCTCCTTGTGTTTCTGCCCATCTGTTTATCTGCCATCGCTCTCTGGTGAGGTGGCCTTACTTGCTCCAGCAGCCTCGGCGAAAAGCTCGCTGCGCCCAGCAGGCTAATGAGCGCCGTCCTAATGAGAAGGTCCAGGTGGATTCATATATCATCCCTGAGCTAAAGAGATGCTGCTGGATTTACACACTTTTGACAAATGGCTGTGCACGAGAAATTCTTGGAGGCCTTCCCCCCTTTTTTAAACCTCACTAAAGAGCCCATGTTGAACTTAATTAATCAGTGTAATTAATTACCTGACATGAGACATTACAGGATGTGTAAGGCGGATCTGTGATAAACCATCTGCACCTGGGGTCATTAATCAGCTTAAGGATTCTCTGAACCTTTCCTCTATTCACTTTAGTTAACTGCTGGGCTAAACAAAACTCTAATCTATGGTAATGCTAAAGCAAAATAACACTCAGTGGGCTCCTTTTATATAAACTGATCAATACTACCATATTGGTCTGTCACGATAACAAATTTGACCCAGACGTTATTGAACAAACTTCCAGAAAACTACAAAACAGCCGAAACACTGAGACCCTTTAAATCAAGGCTGAAACCCATCTGTTCAGAGTTTCTTCTGAACAACAACTATTGGAAAAATGACCAACAAATTTTATTTCATTACATGACAAAATGTAAAGTTTGTTACTGGTTCCTCAATTGGTGACTGTATTTTGTTTTTATGAGTTTTCGTGTTTTTATTATGTCACGCGCTTTGAACTTGTTGCTGAAATGAGCTACACAAATAAACTTAAGTGATTGATTTATTGTGATAAACGATAATATTGTCGCTCTGAGACCATTTTTGAGGAATATAATGCTAATGGCATAATAATAATTCTCAAAGATTAATAAACTTTTAATTTTAATGAACATTTAAAACATGAAGACATTTTAAGTATTCAGAATAGTTTTTTCAAAATAGAAAAACTAAACGGATGAATTACGAACAAATTGTCCTTCAAAAAATGGGCCAAAACACCAGATCCAAGACTCTTGTCATCCAGTGTCTGATAGAAAGAAAAGAGGAAATCATAAAAATGGACATCGTTTTAATTTGTCGTCTGATTAACTGATGTATTGCTTATTGTGACAGCCCTACTACTGCAACACAGAGTGGCAGCCTGTTTGCTCAAGACCCCGTTTCCTATTTTTGCGATGATGCTGACACATTTCTGTGTTTTTGTTTCTTTCACGGCAGAGTACAGTCGCTTTGAGTCGAAGATCCACGACCTGAGGGAGCAGATGATGAACAGCAGCATGAGTTCAGGATCAGGCTCCCTGCGCACCAGCGAGAAGCGCTCCCTCTATGTCAGGTACACACAAACACGCAGCTGCACTCGTTACATCAAATTCAGAGATCTGCTGTTAAAATAACCACTCTTGCATAACAAACCTCGGCTTGTCTGTGGGGGGTGAAAGAAGCCCGAATGCACGTGTTCTTAAAAGCAGGCACACATGGCTCTTTTTTACTCTTTTTTTTGTTTTTTGTATCTTAAGCTGTGCTGTAAGTGAGAGAACGTTTAATTTAGGGCATCGGGTTGACGGCATTCATCTTGTAAAAGCTGACGGACATCCCGTGTTGTTGTTTTGACGCCTGGGATGACATTGCCTCGGCTTCCTTTAATGCAGATTGACAGAGGGGCTTGTCAAAGTGACTCGCGTTATGACACTTTGGGCCAGTTGCCAAACTGGATGGAGGTTCATTTAGAAATGAAAGCAGGTGGCGGCGCTTTGTTCGCACAGCCACAGTGAAAAAGGCTGGACAAGGTTCAAGGTGAAACGGCCATGTGATGTAACGCCATAGTCAGAGTACTTCCTTTTATTTCTGCTGAAGCTCTGATGCACTTCTCCTAACCTCAGCTTAAAGGTCTTATCTTTTTAAAGTTGTGAATGTATTTTTGGATTAAAAGAAAATTTATTTAACAATTAATGCACTGGTTTGGACAAAAACATATATTAAAATATGAATCCTGGTGTTTTTGCTTACTATTTAACACTAGATGAATGGTTTTTTGTTCTTTTTTGTTTTATATTGATGTATGTTTATGTAAACAAATAACATGCAGTTTTATGTACATCACATAGTGTCCATTATGACTAATATTGTAAAAGTAATGGACAACGAACAGTCATTGTTTTTTATTACTTATTATGTTTTGCAATTGTTTTAAGCTTTTTTTAAGGGAGGGTTGAAATTAAAATTTGATTTTACTGTGTTACTTTACAAATGTTTGTAAGAAATTTAGCAATTTTCTATGCTGTAAATTTGGCTTTTTATTACTCGCCCTACCAAACACGGACTATAGCTGGACATCAAGTTAACCTGAAGCAGCAGTGTAGTAGATATAAGAAGTACTGCCCCCTACAGGTGGGAGTTTGCAGACACTCATAGGGGCAGTATCATGTAAATTTGACTTTTTTTGACTTTACATCATGTTATAATGTTAGTCCCTCATCAAAAATACACCTGGAGATTTGCTTTGATTCTTTCAGTGCATGTTTGATAAATCCTTTAACCTCCTTGGCAACCATTCAGCTTTACAAAATGCCTGGGTGGATGTAACTCCACCTTCTTTTTGCCCTTACCTCCTTTCTGTTTTGCACTTGCTTCCTTCCTCCTCCTACTGTCCTTGTGATCTTCCTTCCTTCCTCTCTTTTCTTTTAAGTTTCATATTTAACCAATCCCACTGGATACCCACTTGCCATAAATTCAAAGTGAATTTTAGTTTCATGCTGTAAAGTTAATGTACATGCCTGAGGAGTTTCCATGAAAACCTGTGGATGTTATCTTGTTGGAGTGCTGACCAGTGTGAATCATGACTGTCGTACGGATGGCGTCCTGTGAGTCTTGTAGAGCCAATCCTGTTCCTGTGCTGGTGACTAAGCTCACGGTTATGTTGGGAAAGCTGTCTAGTTTGCTGAGTGAAGCAGGAGCTGCCTTATCCTCCCTGTCCAGCTCCAGGAATGCGGAGGCCTTCAGCCTGTAAGGTGCACAGAAAAGAGGCCACGTGTTTTCCTGCTACACGGATAACGCTGGGAATTTGCCTGTGCTGACAGTAGACTTGTCGAGCTTGTCTTGAATTGCAGCATAATCGCTTCACCGTTGTTTGTCTTCCCGGCTCTAGTTTCGGTTAGCAGGATTATGTAGACAGGTTGAAATCTTAAAAACCGATTAACAGGATGGTTGGGTTACAGTCTCCTGTGACATATGACCTACAAAATGTTAGCTACTCGGTCTGGGAAAACCTGAACCAGTAAAACAAGACGTTACTCCAGTTAGAAACGCCTGCTGGTTTACGTGTCACATAAGGCAGTGAGGCCCTGCAGGAATATGAGCATGATGGTTGTTGAAACGGTTTATAATCATTATGAGGGGAAATATTAAATAAAAATTCATTGTCATAATGTATGACAGAGTATCAGGGTCTTACTGAGAAAAAATAGAAACAAATACCAGAGAATAAAGTCATAATATTTTGAGAATAGTCATAGTATTAAGAGAAAAAAGTCAAAATAATCAGACTTAAGTGGAAATAAAGCCATAAAATATTTCCATTATTTATTTTTTGCATTTTCTTTGTGGCTCTAATAGTGCATTGTAATGTGTTGAAATTAGCAAGTTATTTCTATACTTTTAACAAATACAAGTTTAAGTAAGAGTAAGCTTTTCCAGCAAGTATCGCCTTTGTGTTTGACAAGTAGGTTTTCAAAGTGCTGCCATAATGACACATCTCACAGACTGGCAAAAGTATTCACTCAATTGCATGCGGTTATGCGAGGTCAGTAACTGATGTTGGATGAGACGGTTTGGCTCAGTCTCTGTTTTAATCCACTGCAAAGGATTTCTGCCAAAAACTCTCTCACCGACGTCTTTGAGCCGTTATTTTACAAAGTCACAAAGCTGTTTCTAGCTAAAGTGTGCTACGCTAAAATGCACCATAATAGCTCCACAAGATTTGTAAAAGAAACTTTAATTTGTTTAGTCAATGTAATGAGGACTATAACAACCAATGTAAAAAGTTTACTGCTTTGGTAAAACATGTAAAAATAAACTTCTTAAAATTGTTTTAAAGAATGCAATTAGAAATTCTAAATATAATGTAAGATAAATAATAAATTATGACGTCTCTCAGAGCACAAAGCATAGAATTAGACAGAATAGATCCGCCCTCATGGACCGTGCACATATTCCCCAATATTTTAACAGCCAATCGTCCAAGAATTTATGCACAGATATAATAGATCAGAGTTCAACTAACTCAAATCTGTTTTTTATTATTTTTGTAGAGCTCTCTTTGACTACGATCGAGCGCGAGACAGCTGTCTGCCCAGCCAAGGCCTGAGTTTCTCCTACGGCGATATCCTTCATGTCATCAACGCTTCTGACGATGAGTGGTGGCAGGCGAGGCTCGTCACTCCGCACGGAGAGAGCGAGCAGATCGGGGTCATTCCAAGCAAGAAAAGGTACATTCCTCCTGCGTTTCCTCCATTTGTGTTTTGATTTCCATCAAAGCGCCACAGAAAGCTTCAGGAATATTGTCCAAAAACCCAACGATTTATTTATTTTTCTTCCCCAGAGTGGAAAAGAAAGAGCGAGCCAGATTAAAAACTGTCAAGTTCCACGCCAGGACAGGCATGATTGAGTCCAACAGGGTAAGTGTGGAGGACCACGGCCCCGGGGCCACAGCGGGGGAGACATGCCACTTCCTGCCGAGTGGGAAAGGGACCAGCACCTATTTACCGCAGCGAGAGCGATCAATTTACCCGATTGATTACAGAGCATCTCCCTGGAGACTATTTGTTTGTAATCAAAACATTCACAGGCACTTTTCTGTAAATTAGAATATCAGGAACCATTTTACAACAGAAGTCTAATAAATAGGTCATAAATATGTTAATTCATGTATAAACACTTTATAAATCATGAATAATTGTTTATCAAGGAGACAAAATCCACCAGTTTGCCAAAGAGTGAAGCAAGTCTATTCACCTTTATATTTTATCTTGAGTCATTTGGTAAATGTAAAATTTCGGCATAGTATCTGACAATTAATGCATAATAAACAGTTATTAATTACTTATAAATGTATAAATGACTGGATAACATGTCTATAAAGTATTACCACCCATGTATAAGGGGAGATTTGTTGTAAAGTACCGAATACCATCAAAAGGTTGCTTAAGTTAAATGATTCAGTTCAAATAAAACTAGACATGATCAGCTTGAAAACACACAGTTTTAGTTAAAGAGCAGCTCATAAAAAACTAATTCTGCTCTCAAAAATGGGAGTATTGCATTGAGATGCTTCCTAAAGTTGAGTTGAAGAAAAAAATATGGTTGTAGAGAAATGCTCACAAGAAATAACTCCAGCCATCAGAGACGTATTTAACATCTTGAAGAAGTTTCAGACACACAAAAGGACTGAACGGTTCCTCAGTGGTTTCTTTTCAGATGAAGGTATTTTTTTCTTTAAAATTGGAGATAAAGGTCTGAAGAAAATGAAATGAAATGACATCAGACTTGCATAGCTCTTTATTAGGACACTCAAAAATCATTTCGTTCTCATTCACACATTGATGATGGGAAGCTACTGGATTGTAGCCACAGCTGCTTTGGAGCAATTTGACGTCATTGAAGGAAAAGTGAAAAGACAGAATCCATGTTGTTTGAGGTCCACCATCATTTTATGAGTGACTTAGTTTTATAAATGCATTAGCTGTAGGATTAACAAACGCAAACAAAGATACTTAGTGAAAACTCACTGTGTAATTAAACATATTTTCACAGCTGATAGTCCAGTAGACTTGGTTCGACTGGGGACCAAAGTTGCAGCGTTTGTTCCACTTTTAGCTGGTGCTTTGCTTTCACTGCACAAAGCTGTTCCCCTCCTCGCCTGTGGAGGCGCTGCACCAAGAACCACTGAAGGAAACTACATAAAAACCGCAGAAGACGACACTGAGGGCAACTTTCTCCTACATAAAATATAAATAAAAAGATAGTGGCATCAGATTTTAGCCGATGGAGAATTTCTCCGAATAATTTTGCATATTTGTTTTGGTTACATTTACCCAGAATGCCCTGTGCTATAGTTCACTTCCTGCTTTTGGAGTCTACAGTCCGCTTGGCGTTCAGATATCCATTCAAAGCAACACCAGAGTTCATTTCAACAGAGACTGAGGTTTTTTGGTCTATATCAGAGTAATGAACTGGACTTTCCAGGCAAATCAGAGTTTGATTAAAGTAAAAGATGCATCAGAAGTTTTAATTCTTGAACTGAATTATTGAAATAAATCAATGTTTTTTGATGGTTTGAGTCAATAAGATGCACCTAAACAAGGCTTATCTTGCAGAATTGAATTTGAGCATGAATTTGATTATGAACGGTAATTTATTTATAAACGGTAGATGTTTGATTTGGTCTGCAGTCGGCCGTCTCCTTCACATTGATGCTCCATTCGGTTTCACCCATTACCTGTTTCTCATGTTCATCATTTGATGTGAATTGCGTTGCATTTCATTTGACCCCTCCTCCCTGTTTTTGCATGGTTGTGGAGTACCTTCATTGAAACCTCGTCTGTTTTTCTTTTGTTGTTATTGTTTTTGCCCTCCCTTCCTCACCCGCCGCCCACCTCCCCTCTCTCACCTACACATCAGCAGCAAGTTAAAGTGAAGCGCAAAAAAAGCTTCAACCTCTCACGCAAGTTCCCGTTTTACAAGAGCAAGGAGAATATTGTGCAGGAGTTGGTGGAGACTGAACGTGAGTATGGAGCTGTGTGATCGAGGGGCGGGTATGGGGGGTTTCTCTGCTTTTTTTTTTTTTTTTTGGTCCTTTCTCCCCTTTCATGCTTCACTTCTTTCGTCTTTCATCTTTCCGCTCACCTTCAGGGACGGTGTGTGTGGCGGCACCACTCTCATTCCCAGAGAGATTCCCCACAGGAGGAGGTGTGGGGTTCCTCTCTGGTGTGACCGCTTAGTCTCCAGAGGAGTGTCAAGCTGCGTTTGTGCTGCCAGCTGTTAGTATTTATTTGTTTAAAACTGCAGTATGTAACTTTTATTTTTTTTAAAATAAATAAATAAAAAATTTTTTTACATATTTGTTAGAAAAAAGTCACCATGTCCTGACGGTTTAATATGAGACAGATGATTTGTGAAAACAAGGAGTTCCTCCACCTCCTCTCTGTGCTCCTATAGCGGTCTGAAGAAATTAACAGCTCCTGACCAATCAGAGCCCACAAGAGGGTCTCTGCGCTGTCAATCAACCTTGTTGAAGCGCTACTAAATGTGCTAATGGCAGAGAAGGAAGTCTCCATTATGGGGAGAAACTGTTTTAGAGCAAGCCGGATACATGAGCATGATTAACAACAATTAGAGTATTTGTTTCGAGTTGGCACCAAGAGAAAACAGGCTAGATTTTTCTTTTTTTATTCATCAGATCAATTAAAACAGGGTCAATAATTTCCATTCTAATATTTTCTGAAGGGTTAGTTTGTTTACAGATATAATTAATTTTATGTCTTCAGTTCTAAGTGGGTTTTTTCTGTTTCCTTTACTGTTTTTGATCATTTGGGATATTCAAAGTCATTTTTAGTTCCTGTGTGAAGTGTCCTTTTCAAAATTAAAGTTCATCTTAAAGAGGGTGAATTTCAATTATATCATCAACATATTGCCGGAGAATGGTGTCAATATTATTCAATTACTGGGATAATTTAGCTAAATTTGTTATTGTGGCCGGCCTGTTATCTGTCTCACACTCTACTGTCACGACATGGTGACACTTTGAACAATTATGTACAAAAGGTTACATGATGCAACTTTAAGTCCTGATCGATTCTCCAGTCAGTCATTGAACCCAGAACAAGGAGAATCTCATTACTGGGCTGAAGCTTTAACTCTTAGCAGGTCAAAATCCTGTTTTAATGGGATTGGGCCTATGTAATTGAAAAGCAGTGGCTCACTATGAACAAAGTGGAGCTCAGGCTTAATGAGCATGACAGCACCGTGTGTCAGCGGGCACACTCCTCTTCCTCTCCTCCTCCTCTACCTCGCCCACTCCGACTCTCACTAACCTCTTCTTCTTCCTCTGCTTTTCTTCTCTTGGTTTCTGCTCTCACCTGTCGGGACACCTAGGACTTCCCGGGGTTAAGCGATGACTTTTATGGATCAAAGAGTTTGAGTAAGTGTGTGGTTGCACCGTGTCAAGCAGCTGTCCCCAGAGAGAACGCTTTGTCACTGCAGACCCAGCTGGGAATGCGAGAACCACACACATTTAGAGGGTGGAGAGGGCGTGCACGCACGCACACACACACACACACACACACACACACACACACACACACACACACACCCCTCAGACTCAGTATGTACAGAGCCTATGGGAGCCAGGGTGACACTTCTTCAGTCTCCTGGGGGTCTTTCTGTTTTCTTTCTTAAGGTCACAGAGTTACGATGGATGTGTTGTAACTCTGTCTGCTTGGAGGCGACCAATTCAAAGCATTTGGACTGGGAATACTGGCTCTAGTCACAGGAAACACTTAATTTCCTATTGCTTGCACCTAAAAACCACTTCCCTAGTTTTGCAAAAGCTTGACTGTCGCACATAGAACTTCTGCTTTCTTTATTTCCCTTCTGCCCTTTTATTTTCTTTTTGTTCTTGAAAGGCCCAACAGTTGATAAACATGGTGGGCTAAGGCTATTTAGGCATATTAAACCTTTAAATGAATTAAAAATGACAATTGGATGTGAGATTTTCATTGTTTTGCTTTTCAGAATGCCTGACATCCAACACCAGTGACAGTGAAAGTAGTTCAAGTAAGTCACTTTAATTTTATATCAAGTGATTCATTGTGTTTTAGGAGTTTATGAGGCAGGTCAACACTAAGGGGTGGTTGTGGAAAAAATGTTTTCCACAAATGAAATCTGCAAGTCAACCAGCTTCACACATCAGCTGCATTTCCATAAAAATGTGTGCAAAACTTTGATATTCTGCTCATGATTTAACACATTCTGCACATTTTTTATTCAGCCATTTTATACATTAGAAATACAGTAAAAGATGCACAAAAATTAATCCTTATAAATAGGAAAATAAACATTTTATTGCTTAAATACAATAACATATCATTTCTATAGTGTACGATTCCACATTTTTAGCATAGTATGCATTTATAGGTTAATTTTGCAGGTTATATATATTTCAGTTTTATTTTTTTACACAATTTCAATGGGGTAAAACTAAAACTATCCCACCTGCGTAGACCTGGGTTGCTTATTTTGAAAGTTTTTCTATCTTAAATGCAAAATATCATATTTCTCGTACAGTTCTGGTTAAGTTACTGATCTGAACCTGCTCTTTAAGCAAGACGCCTTTTGTGAGTCTGTGTGTTTGAGTTAATGATCAATCGATTACTAAATTATCTAACGAACATTTCACTAATCTATTCATTACAATTAATCCGATTAATTGTTTCTTAAGTCTTTAATTTATGTATCTAGTGCTGAAACAACAGCCACTCTGTTTAAAGCAATTAACTGGACAGGATTTAATTTGGGGATATTAATATAAAACACACTTTTCTATATTTAGATTTCTACACAGTGTATAATTATACATTGTTTTGTGTTGATCTGCAATAAAAATAAACTGAATTTTGAGGTTGTAACATGAGAAAAAGGATGTGAGGCACCAGTATCTTCAGAAAGTAAAAATTCTTCATATTTTCATTTCCTTTGCTTTGTTTTCTTAGAGGGTCAAGAGGACACGATCCTCTCCTACGAGCCAGTCATTCGGCAGGAAAGTGAGTGGAAACTCTCTGTGCTCTAGAGAAATGTTCGGTGTCTTTTATCATCGTGTCAAGTCACTTTTCTTCTTTCAATTCTAGTCCACTACACGAGGCCTGTGATCATTTTGGGCCCAATGAAGGACAGAGTAAACGACGACCTCATCTCCGAGTTCCCCCACAAGTTTGGCTCGTGCGTTCCCCGTAAGTTGGGACCCAACGTTGTGCACGGCGTGGCAAACTCTGAATCAGACGTAGAAACCAACCAGTTCTGTTTTGCCTCCGCAGACACAACCCGTCCAAGGCGAGAGAACGAGATCGACGGGCAGGACTACCACTTTGTGGGCTCAAGGGAGCAAATGGAGAAAGATATTCAGGATAATAAATTTATTGAGGCTGGCCAGTTTAATGAGAACCTCTACGGGACGAGCATCTTGTCTGTCAGAACTGTGGCAGAGCGGGTAGGCGTCAAGAAATCATAACGTTCAGCAGTATGTGAAGCAGTAAAGTGTCGATGTTTGGGCATTTATTGGTCCTAATGTGCCTCCAGGGGAAACACTGCATTCTGGATGTGTCTGGGAACGCCATAAAACGACTGCAGCAAGCACAACTTTATCCGATCGCCATCTTTATAAAACCAAAATCCGTTGAAGCGCTAATGTAAGCTGCAGGCCTTCAACACCACACGACTGAACTATCAGCAGCTCCTGTGCCCTTTGGAGTAACTTTGACTTGTTTCCATTCAGGGAAATGAATAAGCGGCAGACGTACGAGCAGGCGAATAAAATCTTCGACAAGGCGGTTAAGCTGGAACAAGACTTTGGAGAGTATTTCACAGGTTAGTTGCTGCTTTTTTGACTTATCTAGTCTCAGTCGTTATAAATGAAAGATTTAAAGCCTTCCATGTTTGTTTTCATACAGTAATCGAATGAAATTACGTAAACTGTCTTAATTTGTGGGTAAAATGCTTTCTATGTGCAGTGGGTTGAATTTTCCAAAGAGCCTGTCTGAAATATTCAAAAGAAAAGTTGAAGATTGGTAGAAAAATCAGAACGACCAAGGATTTTATCTTCTGTGGTAGAGCACATTGAGTAAAGGCCAATAGTGCCACCAAAACCTTCAAAAACAATAAATGAATCTGTTGCCTTTTTGCAGCATGGTAACATAGACGTTTAGTAAATGTGTTGTAAAAATATTAACAACGTTTTAATATCTGCTACTGTTGTTTTAAATTGTGGTGGTGATAGTGATAACTTTAATAAGTATGTGACAAATATACTTTATAAAAGCAACTTTACGAGAAGTAGAAAAAAATAGATTATGAAAGAAATCTGGGATTTTATATTCAAGTCGGATCGTCCAGTCCTGATAACCAACCTCTGTGGCGTTCCTCAAGGACCATGGATGGGAACACTGATTCATTTCACATAAAATCAGGAAGTAAATCTTTTTTCTTTCTTTGTTTACAGCTATTGTACAGGGTGACTCGCTAGAGGAGATCTACAACAAAATCAAGCTAATCATCGAGGAGCAGTCCGGGCCATACATCTGGATTCCCTCCCCAGAGAAGCTCTGAGCTCCCGGCCGTCCAACCTGCAGCGGCGCAGAGCTGCCCCCCCCCACAGACCCCACCCACGTCCACATGCCAACCCCCTCGCCCCCGCTCCTCACCTCCTTTTTGCAGATATGTTTCATATCCAGTTTTAGTGTCATCATTATGTTACTCTCTAAATGAAAAAGAAGTCTTTATCACCATTACTGTGACTGTGCACACCCCTGCATGAGTTTCTCAACAAAACCATTCAAGACTGGAATCGCCATTCCAAAAGAATTTGTCAAACGAAAGCAGAAAGGGAAAAGGATCAACTTCCTTTTGTGGACTAGGAACTGCCTGGGCGTCAGGAAGGAGGAGGAGTAGTGATTCAAAAAGAAGAAATAAAGACAAATCATACCAAGTTGGAATACTTTGTAAATGTTCATCAGATCACATTTAAAAAGACAAGACAGGAGGTTGAAGAACAATTAGGTTTTGTTTTTAGTTTTTTGGGTTTTTTTCTAAACGGACTGGATCAAATTTGAGCCCTGCTGATGGTACTGTTCGAGTCGTCTCTCTTGTTTATACCGACGGAGGAAATTGGCGGAGGAGCCTATTAAAAAAACAAAAAAACTGGTGATCTATTTATCACGAACCAGCTCACTGTTTGGTCGTCGGGAAAGATGGCGGATCAAGAGGAAGAAATGTGTTGTGAATCTACATTTATATTATAAGATCACAAGATAAATCATTAAGTCCTTCTGAGATTTTACAGCATATTGAAAACTTCACATTTTACACTTCGTTAGAACTGTCGTTCGGAGGGCTGTTTAGATTTTTTCCTTTCTTGTGGGATTTTTTTTTTTTAAATTCGATTTTACTTTTTGGCTTGTGGTTTTTAGCTGCTCTGTAAAGGACGGGGGTAGAGAAGTGTAACCGGGCTCTCTGCAAAACACCAAACTGCCTTACATCTAATACAAATTCTGTTTTGTGACTACCTGTTGTCTGCAAGGGAGGCTGGAAGCAACCGAAGAGGGCGATATCTTTACATTTTGTGCCCTCAAAGAGCCAGGAGATGAGACGTTAAGTGCAATAGATCAAATATCAAGTCTTGCCTCCCTTTACTTTTTTTTTTTTTTTTCAGTTTTTTTCTGCGTAATCAAACAATTTGGCTTTTTCCGATCCAGCCAGGTAGAGCCTCATGACTCATGTTGAGCAGTAGACGACCCCATTACACTCTCTGCCTTCCAGGACGATTCACCTCTGATTGGTCACATGGTACTGTCCTATCAGCCGTCGCTGTGTGTGGCGGCCTTAAAAAACGGGTAGAACAAGACAATAATTGTATTGGATGTTCTAACAATTAAAAAGTCAGTATAACCTGTTTTTGCATTGTTCCCCCCCTCTGCCAAAATGAGAAAACACTAAAGTTGGTTTGAGTAAATCTTTTTATGCTTTGTGTATCTATAAACCTTGACGCTGAGCCACTGTGTTGAGCTCTTAGAGGTGACGCCAGATTTCTAAAAGAGGGCCACTCCTGCTTCATTTTTAACTGGACATCATTGCCTTCTCTCCTGCAGGACTCGCAGCTCGACATTGAAAACGATCGAAACCGTGACCTCTGAACCCTCTCAGCCTTTTTAGTTTTTTATATTTTAATTCTTCTGCGTTTATCTCGACTGGAACCTAGACGTCTGGGGATCCCCCTTCTCTCTTTCTCCAGCTCACACAGAACCTATACACCTGCAGGCGTTTTTTTCCTATCAGGTGTGCCCACCTGCCAGGCACCACTGCTCAACCAGCTGTCATTACCTGTGTCAAAACCAGAGTTCAGGGAATAACCGAAGGGAACAGAGCCATTTATAAACTGCTTGCAGACTGTTTCAAAACGGTGTGGTAGCTGAACAATGTAAATAAGCCCCTCCCCCACAGATCCCCTCCTCACCTGTGCTCCTTGCATGTGTGACTCAAACTCAGACAGGTTTTATAGACCGCAGACGTCAGGTAAGTAAAAGTCTGAGCGTCAAGCTGTAACGTCAGTATTTCTCATGGGAACGGTTAGCTAGCGAGACGGGGATCCAGTTCCCTGGAGTAGGGAACCGTCGACGTGTCTGGGTGTAACGATTCAAAAACGATGTAAAATAAAAGGAAGGCGGAACCCTCCATCGTTAGACGCTTAAAGTCGGTCCTCTCTGGTGTTTAGCGGACATCCAGCTGACTGTTAATAACGTGTGTATTCATACCTCAGTCAGCCGCATCAAAGCCCAAAGAACTCAATATCACTCCTATTTCCATTGAGGTTAACGGTACCTGAACGCATCTGTGTGTGTATAACTGGCCAGGGACGTTCTGATGAGAGACATGATGCGTTTTATTTTTATTTTATTTCATTTTATGGGGGGAAGGGGTTGGGGAAGGGGCTCAGGCTTTTTGTTTGTACTTTGGGGTGATGATATGTTTCTGTTCTGGCACATTGTGCAGTAAGTGCTTGCAAACATGAACCCTTTGATTGTACAGTAGTTTCCTTCCTGTCACTGCAGGTGGTACAGCCTATCAGGACACTCGGCCTCATGGTCTTCCCTGTCCTAGTCATGAGGGAACGCGGTCCTGCAACTTTTTTTGTTTGGGTTTTATTTTGGGACTTGACAAGAGTTTATTTGTTTGAAAATAAAATATGTGACTCAGTTATAATCTTGATGTGCTTGTTATTCTGCTTTAAGTGGCTCGGGCAATCAAGTGCAAATTTTAAACCGTGGGGTTCGTTTCAATTTGGCCATAGAAATCAGAAGTCTTTAACGAACATAACATGTTTTTCAAATTTGTAAATGGTTTTAGTGATTAGTTTTGTTTTTACTCATCTTCCTTCAATCAATTTTAATATTTAGGGGAAATTGTCCTTTAGACACAAAAGAGAATCTCCTATAAATAATGCCATAGAAACATGTATTGATACACTTTTTCCATCCTGTGTGTATGGAAGGACAAATGGGACAAAATCAAACAAATATGTAATTAAATCATTAGTAAAATGCACCATGAAATACATTGTTTAAATAATTGCATGATACATTTAGTTAAACAAATGCTTAATTTTACCATTTCATAAATGCAATTAAATGGTTAATGCAAACTTAAAATGGTGGATGAAGAGATTTAATTTTCTGTCAAACCAATCAAAGTCGAGGGGCGGGGCTAAAACTGGTCTGTTTGGATTCTATACTTAAATTGTAAAACATTACATTAAGCCTTTATTTCAATGTTGCATTTAATTCATGATTTAATTTTGTCCCTTTTGGCCTTCCATATACCGGCAATTGGCAAACACTGTTTAAAAAGTTTTAAGAGTTGACATTTCTCCACCCTTTGCCACCAGATGGGAAACGGAGCATGACATTTGTCGCGTATTTGAACCCAAAAGAATGAAAATTTTAAAAAATGTTTTTTAATGAGTCAACCGGACAAAGAAAAAACTTCAAATGGAAACATTCGTATCCATATAAAACAATTCAAAATCTAGCAAGTTTTTATGGAATTTATATTCAGACAAAGATAGGGAAAAAAACAGGAAGGTTTACTAGTTCACTTGAAAATGAATGAAAACTTGTCAGCAAACTTTTTGAACTGAGGCTGCAATATATATTGTCGTCGACCAGGAAGCCCGGATATCTGAAGAACTTTTACCTGTAACAAACTGATGGGATGAACTTGCTCGGTTCCCCTTCACGACACAGAACATCGAGGAGCCGAACGTTTTACTCCTCTGTGTGGATGCTTTTCTCGCTTTGTCCAGTCTGTCCAGGATTTTACTGTAGAGCCCAGTCATCTGTGGAAACAAACATTTAACTTTATTTTTATTATTTCTTAAAGCATCATGAGTTGAAAACAAATCACAAAAAGTTCACTGTTCATTAATCATCACAAGTACACAGGTACTTCTCAAAGAAATATCTAAGAAATGTTTTTTTTTTCCCACTACTGTTGGCCTTGGTTGAGGCTCCTTTTGCATGAATTACTGCATTAATGCAGCGTGGCATGGAGGCAATCAGTCTGTGGCTCAAGATTACCTGTGGGGTCAAAGGTCAGGCAGGTACCATCACAGGCATTGGAACAGCTTTTGGTACACTGTGGGTCGGTACCAAGTCATATCTCTAAGGTTTGTCAACAGGAAGTGCTCTAAAACCTCCTCACAAACGGCTACGTTGACTTTAAAAACGAGCAACATGGATTCTGTTTCTCCACTCTTCCTCCAGATTCTAATTACCAAATAAAATGGAAGTTATACCTTCGTTTGGTTATGTATTTTGATTTTGACATAAAATGACAAATTTAAGAAAAAAAAAGGTTTGAAGTTTATCATATTTTTGGACCTAATCCTTTTCCATAGAGGACTCCAATCCTCTCTCTACCTGCATCTCGTAGCTCTCCCGCAGAGACCCCAGGTGTCGGATGAAGCTCATGGCGAGGCCGCACCACTTCTCGGCTTCGTGGTACTGGGCAAGGCTGTACAGCAGAATCCCGGCGTTCCACGCCTGAGTCAGCAGCCACAGCGTCTCCATCTCTGGAAAACCGTCCGGCTGCGGAGGAAAGCAGGAAGATGTGAGAAAAAAGGCTTTTTAGCAGCGGCCACCTGAGCGACTAAAGTTCCCTTTAATCAGAAACGTTCATCAAATCCTGCCGGTTACTAACTTGTTTTAATAATTTCATTCATTTTCTCTAACACTTTTAATCTTGTCCCTTTACTTTGATCCAAAGATTTCAACAGCTTTCAAGTAATAACTGCCTCTGAAAGGGGAAATACGCAGCGCCTGAAAGGCAGCGTGATGTTTCAATAATCCCACGTCTCTTTCAGAGGCGCTGATCACCGGCAGTGGGACGAGTTCTGTAGAACATTAACATTCAAATTGGCAGGAAGGGGTGGTGAATGGAAGCATCTGCTAATTGAAGTGTGGCTGAAAGCCCATTGATAAAAAAAAAAGGTTTCCAAGAAACAGCAGGCAGCGGTAGAGTGGAGGAGAGGGGGTTAATTATGGAGCAGTTCTGCTGGCGCTGGCTCACCGCGGCTGAGATGATGGACAGAGCGTCCTCGAAGTAATCCCACAGCTCCTGCAGCACGCGGCTCTCCACCTCGGACACACCGCTCGGCAGGGACAGCTTGATCAGGCTGTGGACGTACTTACTAAGACGGAGACACACAATTAGAAATTATGGTTCCAGAAATAAGGCAGCGTGTTTTCATGCGGCGCAGCGCTGCCTGCAGTGCGTCGGGTCGGCCTGGGGTTGCTTCCTGTGCAGGGAGAGCGCGGCTCTCAGGGCCTTCTTGCAGAGCTGAGGGAAGTGGGCTGGAGGCTCCATGGCTAAGCCTTTATTAAGAAAAAAAAACAACAATAAATACTTTAATCTGCAATATGTAACTTTCATCAGAAATATTTGCTGAAACTCTCTTTGTTGTGAGAATATGAGGAACAAAATCTGTGAAAAAAAGCAGCTCTTCTGCCTTCTCCCAGTGCTAACTAGAGACAACTATTCAGAGACAGTAGGCGGGTCTTAGCGCTGTCAATCATCTCATTGCTTGCTTTATGCTACGCTGTAGCTAGTACAGTCAGTTTGTATGCTCAGTTTTGTTAGCGTAGTCACAGATGATGGCAGATAAACAATTTTTCTGCAGAGGTAAGTTGTTTCTCCACACTACACAAGATTGATTGACAGCTCTAAGACCCGCCTCCTGCCTCTGATTGGTTGTTTTTGGACTGGAGCGGCGATGGTAGTTCAGGGCTGAGGCAGATGAGGTCTGTCCTCTCACAGCTTATCTGTCTGGTACTACACTGTCACAACATGCTCATAGATTTAATCAATTTAATCATGGATGAAAAAAAAAGAATTAAGATTTTCCAAAACTTAAATCTTTAAAACCTATTGATAAAATCAGAGTTAGTTTTCTGTAATTAAATGAGTGTTTGTTAACCTGCCATGGTTTCCAACACTTTGGTTTCAATGTGTTCCAGCTCCAGGACAGACTCCAGTATTGTCTCCACCTTCGGATCGCTCAGTTTTGCACGAGCCTCGAACTCGTACAGCAGCAGCAGGGAGTCCGTCGGGTCCGCTGGAAGGTTGCCTTCAAATCCATTTAGAGAAATATTTGTTCACCTAACTCCCGCTTCCTGTCGGTTTCTGTTATTTTCGCTTGCTGTACCTGATGCTTTCAGGGTTTTGCAGACCTCCCAACAGGCCTGAATGTGCTCCAGAGCCAGAGTGAGATCCTCCGCCTGTGAAACCAACACAAGGATTCTGGATTTACTGGCGCCATCTAGTGTCCGGCTCTCCTCCCGATGCAAGACGCCCACGCCCGCGCCGGTAATGTGGTTAGTCACCTCTCCTCCTCTCCACTGGTCTTGGTAAATTTCCATCCTTTTTGATGGTGAGCGTGCTAAATGTAGAGGATGAGGAGTGGGTGGCACACCTGGGTGGAGTGAGGAGATTTCCTGCAGAGCTCCAAAGAGGCAGCAGCTGCCATCAGCAGAGACGTCCGCTGGCCCATGAGCAGAGCGCGGTCAGGAGGGCACAGCAGGGAGAGCTTTAAGGTCAAGCAGAAAAACAAATTATTTATCTCTGGCAACTGAAGGAAAACAGGAATGCACTGCTTCAACTAAAGGCTGCGGGTTTAACCTCAAGAGAAAACATTTATACTTTGATGAAATTATTTTAGCAACTACGGAAAATGAAACCACTGTCCAGCTGAAACCGGAGGTTTACAATAGGAGTAAAACGATTGTTGTTTTCTAGCAGATTCTGATCTCCCGATTTTTTTTTTGTTTGTCTGAAATGTTGCCAAATATAGCAGGAAAGCTGCTGAGTTGACAACAGTGAGTGACTTCAAACAGTCTGTCAGTCAAACGTTTCACTGCAGAGCAGAAGAGGACAGCGGCTAATTTCTAGATCTTTGAGGTGGATTAGATCCTCGTCACGTCTAAGTATCAGCTGGTCACCAATCTACCAAAAATAAGAAAATTGGCATCAATAAATGGTCCACCCCTAGTTTATGTACACCAGATAAAAAATAAACTTTTTTTCTCAAATCCGACCAACCTTCTCTTATTTTAGGTCAGTTCTAACTACCACAATTATTTATCTTTGCTGAAACATAAATAATTTTATGTTTTCAGATGAATAATCTCTAAGAGATTTATTTACTCATGTCTTTAAGATCAGAAGTTTACATATTTAAAGAGATTATTGTCTCTTTAAATAATGACATGATGTAGAAACCGCTTTTAACCACTTAACCCTGTTAATGCAATAGTAGAAATATATTTAAATATGCATATAAACACAGAATTCAATTACTTTTTAGTAGGAAAATAAAAAATGTATTGCCTTATGCAATAACCTCACATTCTTTTAGTGAATTTGAACCAGTTCAAGTTCAAACTTTACCACTGAAAGAGTTTTTGGTCGAACATATTTACAAAGTTGCTTTCATCTGAAGTGTAAAATAATTTTGTACAGTTTGGGCTTAATTACTGTTCTCAATGTTGTTGTAGCAGAAAATGACATGTTTGGAGCCTGCACACTCCAGTTAACAATCAATAGTTTTTTCTTTTTCCAAAGTTTTTTGGGGGAACTGAACCAAGCGCTGGTGCTCCTGTATGTTAGTTTTTTTTTTATTAAGTTAACAATGCATTGTAAACAAACAG